ATCAACAGAAAAGCAGTGCCAGGAGAATGCCCGTCCATCCCTGCCCACAAGCTATAACTGTGCCAGCAGTGCGATGCTGATACACACGCAGCATTTCAGTTCCTACCAGAGCTTCTTGTCCGACCCAGGATTGTGAAAGGGTATAATTTATCAAGCCTGATGCCTTGTTAATTCCTCCATTCCTGTATTCCTACTGTGATTCCTTTGTAATTATCAGTTGTTATCTCTCCATATTTTTTTTATTTTAGATATTCATGAGCTGTACCAGCCAAAGCATTGTTAATGGGCTTCAGAGCATGGTGTTGCATTGATTTCCTTCCCTCTGGCTCCTCAAGCATTGCTAGTGACTGATCTAGCCTATGCGTCTGACAAAGGGTCCTAATATTTTGGGCAGAGAGTATTGTTAACACCACAACTGACAGCTGTCAGAAGACCATGGAAAAGTGATTTGTTAAATGATTGATCGGAACCAGATCATCAAGAGGCAGGACGCTATAGGCCATTTTTGGTGGCCATTTTGAGTCTCCCCCCCACCACACACACACACAGTAATACCGTCAAGTGCACAAAAATAACTGGAACACAAGGGCACTGTTCTGCAGATCACCGCTTGGTTTTAAAACCTAATTGGTTGGCGGCGGAGTTTCCCGTTGGTCTATAATTAGTGCCTGTGGGGCGTCGGAGCTGGGGGTGGGGGGACCCAGATTTGCACCGACCCCAACAGAGCAAAGGAGCAGAGACTGAGAGAACCCCTCTTCCCCACTGGCCTGCGTCCGGCCAGATCAGGGGGGAAACCCACACTGAGCGTGTGTGTGGGGGGGTGCAGTCTGCACTGGGGGCGCAAACCCCTATCTCTCCCTCCCCATTCACTAGAATCTTGAAAAGGGGAGGGTGCCTCTTGGAGGGCTAGGACAGAAAAGCCCGCAAACAACTGAGGTTTGCTCCTAACAAGTGGACTTTCACCTTTATATAGTGAACAGATATGAAGTGAGTATATGGACACAGTGTGCTCATACGTACATTTTCCCCATCATTTCATAGAACTCTACTGTGCTTTTAGCACAGTGCCCTTGTTGCCTTACTGCATTTCACTCTCATTTTACCGCGGTACCTACCCCACAAGAAAGTTTTTAGATTTTCAGCTTGTAGGGTTTGGAATGGATACCTGGAAAATTTAGGAGAAGTCCAAATGCAACAGCCTGGGTCGCGCTATGCTCCCACCTATTTCCAGCAGTGGAAATCCCAAGGATCTGGGACTCACGGTTTTCCCACACGCTTCGGTCAGCGCCTTTCAAATCAGCTTAGTGTCCCCATCGACGCCACGGCCAACCCAGCCTGCTGAACCATTGGAAATCAAAACAAAAAAAAACAACCAAAAACGCAGGGCTGCCTTCCGCGGGAGCCCGATCTAAATTAAAACCCAGCCCAGATGCCGAGACCGGAGATCGCGTCTACCCGGGCCGTCAACAACGCCGGTACTTCCCGCTTCCCCCGGAGTCGCATCTCGTTTCGTAGCGACAGCGCTTTCGGAGCCCA